ACGCATACTACTCTAATTGCGACTTAATGACTATTGTTATTGTATTATTAGATAAAGTTAGTTGACTAAAACCGGTTTTCGATATTTTGATGAATATCGCACCGTTGTTGAATATGCGGGTAGTAGTGGTGGCGTRTTGGACACTCACACAAATGAGCATTTACTACTCACACAACAGCAGTAAGCGACATCAACTGTTAAACTAAATGCCTATCGTTTACTCCTTAGAAATGGAGCACTTCCAATCCCCTTAATAGGAGTGTCGCCCTTTTAGTGGCAGGAGTAGATTAGGCCACCCGTAAAATGCCCTTTAATCATTATGTTATTTAATTTTTGGCCTTACTATTGTATTTAAACTATAGCTTAGGACAGGTATGTGAACTTATCAAACTCCCCCCTCCTTTCCCATAACCTGAAGCGATAACCCTCCCCCCACCGACTTCGTATGCTATTTCCACACATTACTAATATTTTAGATCATAAAACTATATTCTACAGAATACTTTCAAAACTTGTATTTTCAAGATTTATTAAAAACGCATAGTTATTATTTAAGCTATGGCTAACAATATATTTTGTAATATAATGAAATATAAATAAATATGTAATATAATATGACATAAACCAATTTAAATTTCATAAAATTATTCTAGGTTTTACAATGCTCTAAAATTAGTATTACGGTTCTGCTCCACCCCTCCCCCACCAATCCCGACATCCATAGTAAGATGTATGATAATATATATATGTATATTTATGATTATTTTATAAAAATGTATATTATTGTTAAATTTGAAAATGCCTGTTAAAAAAGCACACAACACAAAATTATTTCCAAATCATTATTTGAAGTTATACAAAATATTTTGTAGACCAACAAGCAATCAAATAGGTCTAACGAAATCTGATAAAAATAATAAATTTTAAGAGGTATTGAATAATTTAAAATAAACTCATAACATAATTAGCCCGGCACACTCCAAACTGCTATCGCCAAAAAGGGTTTTATGAACAGGTAAATATTTTCGGGCAGGACCCGTTTGGACCAATTTTCCTAACACACAACTCGTTTGGACCAATTTTGAAGACCTGTTTGGACTAAAAACTATTAGTTTTATACAACTCGGATAAAGGTATAGGAACTGGGCTTCGATGTCACCACAGCGCATACGTAGAATATAGTGTTTGCGATAGTAATATATAGGTAACCGCAATTATTGTCAATTAGTATTATCGCACCGGCTGATAGGGCCGTGTCGTAACAGATATCATTTATATTATATTAATTGTATAAACGTATAATGCAACTGTGGGTTTTTGGTCAGCCATCAATTATAAATAATTTTGTTCTCTACACAATCTACAAATTAGTTTGCACAGTTTAACGGAACATCTAAGCGGGCTTTTTAGTAATTATTTAGAAGTAAAATATACGAATAAAAAATTGGTCCAAACGGGTTCACAAAATCYTGGTYCAAACGAGTTGCATTTTTATTAGTGTCCCTAACGTCCCTGGTCCAAACGTGCCTCGACCATATTTTCAAATCGGCTCACGTTGAAAATAGTTTTGCGAACAGGTAAATTCCAAAACTGCTGACGGTAATCCCGATACACCGATTAGAGGTCGATATACCGGTAATCGTTATAGGTACCGTATTTTTAAATCTAAAATTAATTTTTAAAAATAGAATTCTAAAAATATTAGACATATTGATGATATCGAAAATTCCGAAAAATTGGGCAAATTCTATAGCAGAAATAATTATACGTACGACGTACCACAACATTAAATATTATTTTAATAAAATTTAATTCACAAAATATAATTTTTTTTTTATATTATTTTCGTAAAACCTGTTTTGAAAGAAGCAGTTGGAATTAACCTTTTTAAAAGATGGGATCCAAATTTGTTACGTCCTTTTAACCACTGCACGATCCCTATTTTATAGCACGTGATGGGTGAAAATGGCACACTTCACATAATAATTTACTTATTTTTCTATCTTATATATAAATTGTTATGCTGAATAGGATAGCTGAAGAATATCTGAGAAATAAGAAATTTAATACTACAATAAACCGCGTGTTAAATTATAGCGCGTTTAACAAACATTAGTTTTAACATTTTTCTAAGTATTGAAAAAAAATAAAAATTTAATTTCTACTTGAACTATCATTTCCAGCGCATAAATACACATAAAATAGAATAATAAAATATCAAGCAAATAACATTAAAACATAAGAAATATTGTGTGCATTGAGCCACATTCGTATGTAAACACTATACACACAAGTTTATTATAATACACAAATAGACAATTACGGTAGGCATGATCAATGACGTCACTTGACTTTTTAATTTTTTATAATTAATTGAATAATGTGATAAAATCCATAATACCTATGTAAAATTGTTCTTAGAAATTTTAACTGTACATAATAACCTTCTAACTACAACATAGTTGTTATTATTTTTTGCTCCTCATTAATAATACAAATTAATAAATAAATGTTGATAAATTTTATCTCAAAGTGTTAAACATTAGACCTAATTTTAATTGACTGGCGGTCAAATATAATAATATATAACAACATCACAAAAACTGCTATAACATTATCTAATAGATATTTGATTCCAAATTTGACTCTTGACATATAACAGGAAGCAATAATGTTATCATTTAATGCCGAAGTAAAAGGTAAATAACCTATATTCTTCATTGTGAAGGTCACCATTATTTAAATATTCTAATGTTAAATGTACTAAACAAACAAGTTTGTCTTACGTGATAATAATTTATAAAATATACTCTTTTATATTATTTAAAAAAAATATAAATAATTAAATACACTTTTCTCATCTATAAAAACAGAAAATATCCAATTATTTTGTTTAAAATTGATTTAGATATAGAATTAAAGGTATGATATAATTAGTACATTATTAATAAGTTAGGTAGTTAGGTAGTACATTATTATTAATAGGTAGGTAGGTATTCAATTGTACAACAGTAGTAAGTTCTAAATTATATAATAATATACAACATAGTACTTATGTGTTGAGTAAATAAAGACACATAATAATTCTGATATTATTATAACTAGAAAAAAATTAAAAATTAAATCAGCATCATGAAAAAATAACTATTAAATAAGTAAAATAATGTGCGTAACATACCAACAATAAGTCCAATTTTGGTGTTTGGAGTCTTCCAAGCACATGACATGAGTGTACCAGTTGTATCGTTCAATATTCCACATACATCTATCTGTACGTCCTAGTAAAATTAACATTAAAATAAACCAACCTTTTATTGCGACATTACGTTATATTATTTTATAGACAAGTAAATTTTTAGTATCTAGTATCTACATGTAAGCATAGGTAGGTATTAAAATCTTGCTTAATATCTAGTTTTTGATAACATAATGCAGAAAATAATTTCAATTATTATCATATTGGCATATTATAGATATTTCGGTGCAACCTGAAAGGCTCCCTTTCTGTTTTGAGACAGTCCAAAGTCTTAACGAAGAGGAAAGGAATTTGGAAAATTGGAGCGGTTTGGAAATTGACCTTTTTGTAAAATGAGAACCAGATGTATTTTTGGGCATGGGCCAATATTTTTTTAATCATAATTTTAAAAACATATCTATGCAGCGAGGAAAATAACAAGTGGCAGTAGTGGCACGCTACGCTTCTGTTGTTATTTTTTAACAATTTAGCTTAATTAGGTTAGGTATTTTGTTAAAATAAAAGTAATTTATAATTTTTGTAATCTACTACCAATTATTTGGCAAATTAGCCACTGAGACAGTTAATGTCAAACATCAATGTCAAACTTAAACTGTTTTTATTGATAACATTATTATGATTAGTCAAATATTGTTAAGTATTTGTATTTTACAACATGTATATTAATTTTATCAAACTATAAGTTGTTATTGTAGTTACTAATTAAATTAATTTCATAATTGTACATTTTCATCATTTAAAAAAAAAGATAGATAAAATGTAGTCCGATTACCAACTGCCCAATACTTTCGGACATCTGAATTAAATTTTGAAAAGTATATTAGTATTCCGTGTTTTTAATATTTTTTTTATTTTTTTTTTTTTTTGGTATATTGCCTATACTTTTCTTGTTGAGCACATCCCATTGGGATTCTGATCGCATAATTAAATTAGATTCATACGTCATACCATCAATTAACATTCTATGATTTTAAAACTATTGATACATTTTAATATGTACTATAAAAATACATATCATAGAAATATGATAAAATATGTTATAATTTTATAAGCGTACTAAAACAAAACTACTTGAATTTGGTAATGTAATTACCTTTCTCCTCTTGATAGCATCTTTGAGAAGCCTGACAACATCTTCATTAACCACTCCTGAACAGTCAAATCCTTTAGTCCAGCTATTTAAATACCCTTTGGTTAATCCAACTTGTCTAAGTGGAAAACTAAAAGTAAAGCCCAAAGGTAATGCCGTTTTGTTGTCTAGTTTGTATTTTTTTACGAATTCTGCCAGACATTTAGCAATATGATCGAATAACTACATAATATAATGGCATACATAAGTAAGGTACATAGTTATCAATTATTAGCAAGATTATATATTTTTAATTACTTCTGTGCCTTTGCCAGTTTGGATCTTACTGGGAACTTTGAAGGTTTCAAAGTCCATATGGAAGTAGTTTTTCTCTCCCAATTCAATCAATAACACGCGAAAATTGGTGCCACCCAAGTCTAAAGCCAAGAATTTACCTCTCTCTGAAAAAACAAAAAAACAAATTAATTTAATGTCATCAGCAAAAATAATCATATTATAATCATAGGAATCGATTTTTACCAGTTCCATTTGGTAAATCTTGTACATAAGTAATATAACACTTGACAACAGAAGATGGATTGGTTTCTTTGCACAAACCATTCCTGATGGCTTTATCCATATCGTTCATTAAGGCTAATAGTTGTTCATTGGATAAAACAAGTATCTTACATTCCTCAATAATCTAAAAAATAAAAATAGGTGCTGTATTGTATTTCAATATTATTTTATTTCAAACGCAGTAGAATAATAAATAAAAATAATTCAATTAAAATAGTTACGTATTCATATTAATAATAGGCATATCATATTTTCCAATGCATGTAGCATAAGGAAAATTTTAAAAATTGTCCTCATGATATAATAATTGTACCTATATATTTACCTTATTTTAGTAAAATGACTAATACTAAGAATCACCCATAAACCAGAAAAAAATGCATAGGTGCAATAAAAATACMTTTTTAGTATATTATTATGAAACTTTCTTCGATCAATATATTTAATATATTTAATATAATATCATACAATACACCTATAACTCATGTATAAGTACCAAATCATACAAATATTTAACATTTCATTTGGAATTTAGACTGTGAAATATAATTGATTAGATTGTGTACATATCACGTTATTTACAGTCGAACGATCATTTGTATACATTAATAGGGTATTAGAACAATTATTCCAAGGAAAGAATGAAAACAACAGGAAGTCGTTAATTACACCAGTAGATAATAACGACTATAGGAAAAAACGATAATAAACTACGTATTAAGATAGTCGAAAACATACCTATCTAACACATCCAAATGTCAATTATTAATTAATTATGATTAGGCACCGGATTTAAATTCACTTAAAACCATACAAATAAGCACTAAAAATAGCCAAAAATGTTCTTAAAAAATGCATTTTTCCTCAAAAAATGCCATTTATATTTTTTTTATACAATTTGTTATTTTAATTTGGAATTTATTGCTAAAATATATTTACTTTATTGAAAAAATAAATTTGGAAAATTTGACTTGATGCTGCTATGATGTTGGAAAACATATGTTTTGGGGCAAATTATTCATTTTAAACATAAATACTAAACTATATATTAATAATAAATACGCTAAATTTGTATAGTATATTGAACGAATATGCATTAAAAACCATAAAAATGACCTAATAATGCTAAAAATGCTAAAAATGCTCTTAAAACATAAGAACGCCGAAATATGCATTAAAAATGCAAAATAAGAGTTAAGCTTTGAAACACTCGTTACATAACAAATTTTATACTTGGAAAGAATGATTAATCAAAAAAAGATACACTTTACATTGAAATCTGGGCTCCAATTATAATAATAGAGATCAACGAAAACAAATATTACTCGAATAAGATAAAATCAAACTCTGAAATGCTAATAATACGATACACAAATATAAATAAGCATATAAAAAAATAAACAACAAAAATTCATAGAGATATTAAGTTCAACTGAATTTTTAAAGTAACAAAAAATATGTAACTAGTAAGTAGTATAATTAGAAACCTTGGTAAAGTAATCCATTACATAAATAGTAAATATGACACATTGAGTTTTTCGAAATTTTTCAAAAATATTTGAGAAATTACGATTAATTTTTTTTTAATTCCAACGATAACAACTTATGAGGAACCTCGTTTTAAATTTTAAAACCTTGGTTAGGTTAGGCCAGTTTCACATGGGCGTATATAATACGCACGCACATTTATAATTTACATTGATTAAGTTCATACGTGTCATACTAGGAGAGGGAAACGCACCATCGTCATAGTGGCGCTTATGATTTAAAATTATTTGAAATAAATTATTAAATTTATATTAAAAACTAATGTAACAGAAACGTGCACGTACAGTACATTGCGTATGATAAGAGCCCATATAAAATTTGCCTAAGCCCTAAGGTTACAGAATAGTTTGCAATTTTCACGACTTTAACAAAATTTGTGAAAATTTTAACTTCAAACGCTTATAAAACATTTTTGTGAATTTACACTCAAACCTTATTTTAACTTATAATAAATCTATCTTGATTTAAATGTTTAGCAATCAATTTTTTATATTAAATTATTTAAAAAAACGACAATTTCATATGTCTATTTTTAATAGCTAATTAAGAGTACCTATAAACAATAATAAAATGCCGAGTGTACCATAATACACAGAAAATGTTAATATAAATATTAGATGAACATTTCAAGTATCTACGTGTAAGTATTAATTTAACACACTTGGCAACCTATGGTAGAGTATGAAAGACGCCACAGTTCATATATTAATAAGTACCTATACATTCTAAACATACATAAATATAAAATTAAGATACCTAAGTTAAATTATGATCACTGCATAAGTATAAAACCTAACAAACTTTAAAGTATCTTGCGTAATATTTTAAATTCTCACTTGCAACGTACACACTAAAAACTCGAAAAATAAAATATTTTATAAAAATTAATAAAATTACCTGGAAACACCAAATAAAAGTTTTTATTTTGAAGTATCTGTTACATGAATTAAATTATATTTTAGAATTTCTATAGATCACAATCAATGCACTTTGAACTTTGCCCTGCCGACTAATCGTTTATTGTTTTAACAAATAACTGTAGGTGAGGTCAAATAATAAATAGGATCTACTACCTATCTACTTAATTCGTAATTGAGACTCAAGTTACTCAAATCCACTTATCAATTCGCATGCACGTTTGAAGAACAAATTATCATGGGACTGGCAATTGGATTTGTTGTATTCAGTTTTTTAATTATTATACATTTATCCTTTATAGGTAGCCCCGAGGTAGGTACCTACAACCATGGGCATAGGTAGGAAATATTTTCGGAGGTGGTTTTTGTCTAAATCTATATTAATATAATAATAATTATTATTATTTATAATATAAATACAATATTTTGACCATATAATTTACAAATTTAAAAATATAAAAAAATAATATAAGATAAAACTTTGTTTTCTTGGTTAGGTTAGATTGTTTTATTTAATTTCGGGGGGTGTTTGAACACCCAAACCCCCCTTACCCACGCCCATGCCTAAAACCTACTATACTACATAGACAGAGACTCTCTAAACTATGTGCCATATGCCACATATCGTACGCCGACTAGTTTTTCCTATTTCGTTTGCTACAGCAAAGAATTAAAATATGAACTAATCATATCATGTTATTTTTTTATATGAACTATATACATCACACATTTAACATTTCTCAATATTAAACAAAACTACACTACAGTTTTTAAGTTTGGGGAGTGATATACACTATATTAAAATATATAAGTATGTATTTATAAAGTTGTACATTTTATCTACTATGTTTTATAGGTAGATATAATATTTGTATATTTTTATTTTCCGAATGTCTTAACTATAGGTACTTATAATATGATATTACTAAAATTAATTAGTAATTATGTATTATCTATAATGAGATTAGTATAGGTGCATACGTTATTTTTAAATAGAATATGAACAATATAATATTGTAAAGCTTGTCTAAGAATTATTTCATGAAAACATAAAAATCTGATGCCTACTGATTTTGGTACAAAATAAAAATTTATATAGGTATTTTGAATCTTTTGGAAATAATTGACTTCTCCAAAACGGCTCCCAATGCAGTATCACAAGCCATTGAAAATATTATCATAAGTTATATAGCACTATCCTGGAAATACTGCTATGCATCATTGGCTAATGGTTTCCAAGGTGTCCAAAAATTGTATGAAATTGTTTACCCATATGTATTATGTACCCATAAACGTGTTATGGTCAGTGAAATAGGATTTAGCTAACAATAAAAAAAATTCCTCGCAAACGATTCTACTACCTACCTAAAAGGTACGAATGTAGGTACCTATGTAATATTTTATTATTTTACAATATAATATACTACGATGACAATACTAGCGTAGCGCAGCGCAGACAAATACGACGACACAAACATCATGCTGTTTTTCATCTCCATGGGCCCAGTAGGTACATGTTACACCTCCTGCCGGGATGGGGGAGGAGGGGACAATAAATTAGTGCACTTCGCGTGAATACACTCCCCTCCGCTTAAATGCATTCCTTAAAATGAATAAAACCATAGTTACAATGGAAAATCAGAATACGATAGCGTACCTATGCCTTTGTCACATCAAAGGGCGTAGCTGTGAACTTGACTTACGACATATATTGTAGATGGCTGCGCGTTAAGCCTTATCAAGAGAGCGTTCCTACACTTTGTAACAAGGTGCCAAGAGCAAGGGTCAAATTTAATAGTTTTATAGATTAAGTATTAAATTTAATACTAATACTAACCTTGAGCAAAATGATCAGGGAATCAATCAGATATTATGTACCGTTTCCGATATATGCATGCTTTCATAAAACTATTAGGTACATGTCTTATATTCCATATTTTTGGAGAACATTTTGCCCTGTTGTGTACTTATATAAATGTATAATAAAAAATCAGTAGTATAATTTATATACGATGTATGTGTATTTAAAAAGATAAAAATCATTATTTTTAAGGTATATTTGAATTGTTGATCATAAAACTTTAACTTGAAATAATTCATTCGATTTTTCATGGTTTATATCTATGACAATATTTAATAAGTAATATCTCATATAAAAAAATTTAAGATTTTTATACATATGTATAGGGTGTCTTTGTATGTGCACTGTGAAGATTATATACTACAACCTATGTTATAAGAAAAAAAATTCCATTGACTTTCAGTTGTTTCACAATATTTCTATCTTGCAGGTTAAATTGGCAGAAATGGGAATTAAACCTTTTTTTAATTTCAGTAAAAACTGTATAATATGACTATAATTATAATATTCTATATTGACCTTGATAGTATAGGTACAGCTTATATAATTGTTTTAATTTAAATTTCTMTGCCATGATAGTTTATAAAAAGTCACCGCTAAATTTTGTGTTAAGCGCGCCATTTATAAACGCGCGCGCGAAACCAACTTTGTGTATATTAATCCACAGATTGTAAAATTAAAAATTTTAAATGTTAACTGTTAGTTACGTTGGTTTTTTTTTGTAATATTTAAATTATAAAGCGTGATATGAGAATTTTTAATCGTAACATTTTACATACTAACTCATAAATTTCATAAAAATTGAAATATCGTAAAAACGCCAATTTAAGACAACATAAATATTTTTAACTGATACAATTTATGATGATTGATTAATTTTATTGGTTCTGAATATTTGTAATGGTGTGTGTAAATGAGGAAATGAAAACAAATTACATATTTTTCATGTCATGGAATAAAAATCGTAAAAATATTTTTTCCAGTTTCTTACTATACCTAAATGAGTTGATGGTACTGCTCATCATGGTGATAGAAATATGCAGCCCATCATCTTTGTTGTATATATGGCACTAAGATATTGAAAAGTAGAAAATCTCAATTCCTTACTATCCTCACATCGAAAAATAAATGTACAAAAACAGGTTTGCTCGATAACATAACTTACAGTTACTTGGACGGMGGGCGGAGAGGGCTTGACTTCATCGGAATTCATGATGGCAATAATAAAAATAAAATACCTTGACGTTAAACACTTTAATAAATTGTTGTTGTTATTATTATGAAATTTAAACAGAGTCAATCACTCTCGCGCTGTAAAGGAAGCCACAGAACTGATACAGCGACTGCGTTTACTGATACGTTACTAACCACATACCTACCATCATAGGCCGATGGTCTATGGCATCATGTTTTGGTACATTGCCTACAGCGCTTCTCGTGTGTTATGCAGGAAGATTCACTAATAAATCGATATTATATTTATCAACTCTGCTATCGATTGTACTATTGTATTTGTTAGTAAAATATTGATATTAATATATAATCAAACTTATCAATAATACAATCGATATAAGAATTAGTAAATATAATATCGATTTATTAATGAAGCCCATATGTAGTCAGAGAAGAGCCGTAATCAGCTGCTTGTTGTATCATCATTTTTTTTTTACTTTTATTTTTTTGAATTATTATAATATGTAACGTTAAATAATTATATATATATAGTATATGTATCATCATACTATATCATAATTTATTTCAT